GGCAGTGACCCTAATGCACAACTCACAGTGTCCCAGAAGGCTCCACTCCAAGAGCCAGGACCCTGGGTGGTGGATGTCTGTGCCCTCAGCACCCAGCACATGATGACCTAGCATGGTGCTCAGTCCACAAACACTATTGCCAAACCCACCTGGCTAGAATGTGGCCGAGAGAAGCACCAACCCGGGCAGCCAGCAGTCAAGGCCATGAGTCCCCTCATCCCTGGCCAGGGCTCCCAAGACGCCTTAATATCTCTCTAATGAGAGTAATTTGGCAACAGCAGAAAACATGCACTCACCCTTTGTCCCAGTAATTCCATTTCTGGGAATCCGGCCTAAAGAAATAACCCTAAATATAGGCTAGAAAAACAGGCTTCACAAGGATGTTCACTTCGGAGTTGTTTATCGCTCATGCAAAGCAGAATGGCAGTTCTGTCCATGATAGAAAAGGTGGGAACAGAGAGAAACCCGGAGCAGATGCGAATTCTTTGATTGGGATTCAGCAAAAATTATGTTTAGGGCTGGCGAGATGACTCCCGGGGTAAAGGCGGCAAGCTTGATGACCCGAGTTTGATCCCTGTGTGGAAGGAGAGGAATGACTCCCACAAGTTGTCTTCTGATTGCTACATATAAACTGGTGTGTGTGTGTGTGTGTGTGTGTGTGTGTGTGTGTGTGTACATTCGTGCACAATTGATAAATAAAGAGCAATACAAATTATGTTTACAAATAATCAGGAGAGCCTGAGAGATGGCTCAGTGGATAAGAGCCCTTGTTTTGCCAGCATGAGGACCTGAGTTTGGATCCCCATCATTAAATTGAAGCCAAGCATGGCAATGCACACTTACGACTCCAATGTCTCAGTCAGGTGTGCCCCCCATAGCTCAGTAACCAAATCAATTTAGGCCAAAGAAGGCCAACTCCGGGTTTGGTGAGACCCCCGTTTCAAGGGGGTAAGCAGAAAGTGATAACTTTATTGCCAGGCACCTGATGTCTTCTGGGTTCTGTATTCTTGCAACGGCACCTGCCCACATGTACACGCTACATATACAGAGATGCAGAATTATGTATGCACAGTAAAAATTAAAATGAAAGAAACATACTGAAATATTAGTGTGTGTGTGAGAGAGGGGGGAGAGGGAGAGAAAAGAGAGAGGAGAAAAGAGAGATGAGAGCGAGAGAGAGAGAGAGAGAGAGAGAGAGAGAGAGAGAGAGAGAGAGAGATTGGGAGTTGAACCTAGTGCTTCTCATATGCTCATATGCTAGTCAAGCATTCTTCCTCTGAGCTGCATCTGGGCCCTCTTAAATTTTATTTTGTGACAGTCTTGTCTGCCGAGGCTAGCTCTTACCTCACTCTGTAGTCCTGGCAGGTCTTGAATTTGTGATTTTCTAGCCTCAGCCTCCAGACTCACTGGTTTTATGGGCTTGTGCCTTCAGGCTTCGTTCCTGAGTGATTCTGATTTAATTTTATCCACATGCTTAGATTCTGTCCCTCACCTTCCCACGCTGCATTTGTTAGTCAAGTGTGAGTTGTCATTTACATATAGTGACATCTACCCATTAGTGTGCAGATCCAGGAGAGCTGATGGATGGAACCACCAGGAAGAACAGTTGCTTGGGGTGAGCTGGTTCCAATCACCCCAGCAAGTGCATCCTGCCTCCCAGCAGCCCTGCCCACCCTGCAGCCTGGAGCTTCCCATCTGCTTCAGTACAGACCAGGATGTGATAGCCACCCATCAGATTCCATCCCTGGGGTTCTGTGGATTCTAGGGTACCCTGCAGCAGGAACATTGCCTTGTGGGCTTAACTCTTGAAAACCCATGATCTCTTAGTTGTGCCTGAGAGCTGCCTCTCCCAGTTTCCCTTGGTGCTGGCAGACTCAGTTGTCCTCCTTTCTGATTCATCTCCTGGCTGCTGTTGACTCTGGCTACTGTGGGTCACATTGTCTCTGCGGTATGACATATCTGCTACTATGTCTGCTCCTATGTCCTGTTGCATTGCAACAGAGGACCTCCTGGGCAGAGGCTGTTGTCAGCATAGCTTGACATACAGTGGCCACAGAGAAACCTTGGATGTAGAAGTGAAAACAGTGTCCCTCCTGTCAAACCACCACAACAGCCCTTAGTGTTCTACGCTTGGTGTGCAAGTGTGGCCCTGATTTGGGGACCCAGTGCTTCTCTGTCACTATCGAGGTCCAGGTCCAGTTCAATCATCTTAGTTTCCACCCAGTGACACTTTTGTGTTTCCAGATTCCATGGTAGAGCCACTCATCCTGTCCCCTCAAACTCTCTTCCAGCCAGGACACTTGCTCAGGTATTCCTTGTCTTTGGTACGTGGTGGGCACCCTCTTGTTTTTGGATGTATGAGTTTACTAGGTAGCCCAGGCTGGCCTCACACTCTCGGTCCTCCTGCTTCCACCTTCTGAGTGCTGGAGTGACAGGTGTGCCCAGCTTTGGCAGGCATCTTGAGGAACTGACTTCAGTTGGGTTTTGGGGTTTAGGGAAGAGGATGCCAGAGATAAAGTATAGTCATCATGTTGATCTCTCCATTATGTTCCAGATGCTGAGCTAAGTAAGTCCTTGGCAAATTAGATGTCCTGAAATATTCTCTGTTATTCTGTTTATTAAATTATCATCAGAGGAGCCAGGTTCAGAGAGGTGCAGTAACTGTCTTAAGGACACACAGTAAGGAACTCAAAACTGGCTCTGAAGACTTCTTTGGGCCAAGTGCTGAGTCAGACCGTGGCAAAGCGATCAATCTGGTTTTTAAAAACAACGAGTGCTTATTTATACCCAGCCTTTTCCCAGAAAGCTTTGCTCCCAGCTTCTTCTCCAAGCTGCTTTTGAACAGCCTGACTGTGTTGTAGAATGGAGGCCTATACAACCTCCATGAGCAGAGGTGGTCTGCACAGGTAGGACACTGGCTGTGTCCATCAGAAGGAGCTAGGGCCAGAGGCCTCCCATGAGGCGTTTGGAGACCAAAGCCTGTAGGCTTTCTGCTGCTGTGGGTCTGGGTGGTCTGGTTCCTTCATGATCCTACCATGCCCTTTGTCACAGTGGTGGGTCTCCTGCGGTGACTTGAGGGACGGGCATTTTGGACTCTGCATCTTTGTGGTCCATCATTGCAGAACCTCTCCTGGCTTCTGTGTACTGAGGGTGGTTGGGCTAACTAGCCTTTTGAAAGAGAAAGGGCTGAAGAGCTGCCACTGCTTCCTAGAGAGGGCCTTTAACTTAATAATAAAGGACCACCTTCCCAGGTGTGTTGTGGGCTGGCACTTCATTTGTTAAAATGACAGTCATTGTGAGAACTAGGCTCACCAAACATGATGGCAAAGGCTCATGTCCCTGTTGTACATAACAGCCAGCTGTGAGATGGGACTGTCATCAGTACACACAGTAAATGTTTGAAATTAAGCGTCTCCCCTGCCAGGGGCAAGGCTGAGCTGTGTTATTCAAACACTGGGCCATGCCACTGGGCTAGTGCCAAGGGGGACAGGGAGTAATTCTGGATGTACAGTGCAGGAACGGGTACTTACTCCACAAACTGACAAGGCACACTGTAGTCTGTAGGTCTTGCTGAAGGGCAGTGCACCGGCTTGAAGGGCTTGGGGCAAGCTACCTTCCACCTCCACGGTTCTGGAGGCGTCATTGATACTATCAGATTTTCCTGCAGCACCTTCCCTTTGGGGATGTAGTCCCCAGACCCCAGATGGACCTGTAGGCTCTTCTAGAAGTGGTTCACACTACCTAAGCTGTGCGTGTCCCTCTCCCCTCAGCCCTCTTGCTGTTTCTGCCTTTGTGTTGGCCTTGAGTCTATGCAGTGGTCTCTCCTCTCTGCCCCTATCACTTAGCCCCATTTTGATTCCCCCGTTCAATGCTCCCCCACCTCAGCTTACTCTTGGATGTTTTTTGTTTGTTGTCTGTCCACTCCACTGGACTCCAGTCTTGCAATACCCAGCATGGCCCCCAGAATATACTAGAAGCTCAGTGGATATCTGTTGAATCAACCTGAGTTGGTCAGTCATTGTCAAAACTGATGACCGCTTGCACCAGGGAAGCTGAGACAATATAGCCGTCAGCTCTCCCCACCGCCACCATGTGTCACTTGGAAAAGAAGAAACGATCAGAGGCCCAACTGTCTGTGGTATGACGCTCAACTGGACCATGGACTTTAAATTGTTCCCTCCTGATTCAGTGGATAGGTTCAATCTTGGCCATGGGAAGGTCACAGATCCTCTGTGCACTTCCTCTCTAAAGTCATTGCAAAATGCCACTCACGGAGTTCCTGTGGCGCGTGTGCACTTGCAAGGGTCTCGGAGAGGTTTCTGTTAAATGTCTTAGCTTGGTTTTCTTCTCTTCTGATTCTCCTGAGCTTGACATCTTGGAGGTGGAGTGTTGAAGACCCTGTGTAGTTGTCCCGTGCTGTCTCCCACCCCATGCTTCTCTGAGAGAGTGGACTCTTAGCGAGCGGTGTGGGTAGCTTTAGGTTTCTCTTGCCTTCTCCCAACACTCGGCCATGGTTGCCTTTCTCATGAGTTTTCCAAATACATGCTGTTGACTCAGGTGTTTGACCAGACACTGAAGAAAGATAGCATATGCTCTATGAGCTTTGAGGGGGTGAGAAGGAGCAGGATGGGTTATCGGTCCTATTAGTGGTCTGCTATGAGCCATTGAAGGATGCTGTGCTAGGGAGGGATGCTGAGATTCCAGCTCGACCCTGAGCTGGGCCCCGAGCTGAGCCCTGTGGCCACAAGGAGATGACCCTTCACCCTTGCCCTCAGGGTTCCCTTGCCTGTTCTTTATTTGCACCCTAGATGTGGAATGAATTTCCTTCACAGGCCTTCCACACGGTGGAATGCTGCCAGCTGAGAACCCTGGCCCTTCCTTTGCAGCCGAATTCCTGTCTGCTCTTCACCAGCATGTCACCAGCATTGGCTTCTGAGGTGGGGACTGTACCAGCTTTTGTAACCAGGGAACGTTTCTCTCTTCCTCTCTTTTTGCTACAGCCGTCTGGGTACATGGAAAACTCGGTCTCCTACAGCGCCATTGAAGATGTTCAACCGCTGTCCTGGGAGAATGCCCCGAAGTACTGTTTACAGCTCACGATCCCTGGGGGGACCGTCCTGCTGCAGGTAGGATCAGCAACCATGAGCAAGCAGTTTCTCCCCCTCCTTCCTTCCCTCCTTCCCTTCGTTCCCTCTCCCTCACCTGCTCCTTCTGTAGATGTTAGCTTTGGTCAACTCAGAACATCACAAAGGTATAAAGGGCTCTTAGGAAGGCAGGACGAGGGCTGTGCGTGGATTAAGCACCTGCTGCATGATGCCCTCTTTCTAGGAGCGTGCCAGTCCCTCCTGAGCCCGAAAAATGAATTCTCTAGTCTCCATTTTGCAAATGGGGAAACCTAGGCCCATGTCATAGGCCAGTTGTCAGGCCTCAGAAGTTACTACAAGTGTACCTTGTTACCAATCTTTTCTTGCTGGTGAGGGTGTGTGCTGTATCTTGTTTTGTTGGTTTAGGTTTTTTGTTGTTTTGTTTGTTTTTGGTTTGTTGGTTTTTGGTCCTTTTTTTTTTTTTTTTTTTTTTCAAAAAATGGAAAAT